AGTATGGATGTCCGGCCCTAAACGAAACAAAGCTGAAGGGGGTAGGAGAGTTTAGTGGGGGAAATAAATGGGAATTAAATCTGGAGTATCTGAGAGAGTTAGAGCAAAGGAAGGGTAGCAGTAATGTTAACTGATCAGTTATGGAAGGAGAAAAGAGATAAGAATGTGTAAATCAAGAATTATGTGATTAAAGTAAAGGTTTGGATTCGAAAGTGGGACATAATAAGCGTGTATGCACCTGGAAGAAGAAGGAATGCAGAGGAGAGAGAGAGATTTTGGGAGGGAGTTAAATGAATGTATAGGAGCCTTGAACCAAGTGAGAGAGTAATTGGGTAGGGGACTTGAATGCTAAGTAGGAGAAACTTTTAGAGAGGGTGTGGTAGGTTAAGTTTGGGGGCCAGTGTGAAATGATAATGGAGCCCTTTTGATTGAACTTTGTAATAGAAAGGGGTTTTAGTTTATAGGAATACATATTTTAAGAAAAGAGGATAAAAAGTATACAAACACGATAAGTATGTAGGGCGAAATGACAGTAGTTTTGTTTGGATTATTGTATTGGTAGATAAAAGACTGTTGAAGACTTCAGGATGTACATGTTTATAGAGGGGCCACAGATCTATCAGATCACATTTCTAGTGTAGCTACACTGAGAGTAAAAGGTAAGGAATACAAGGAGAATAGAAGCATCAGGGAAGAGAGAGGTGAAGGTTTATAACTAAAAGAGGAGTCAGTTAGGGAAAAGATATAACCAGCAATTGGAGGATAGATGGCTACATGAGAGCATAGGCAATGGGGTCGAAGAGGTAGGGGTAGGATTAAAAATGTAGTTGTTATGAGGTTCAGCAAAGTTTGTGGTTACAGGAAAGAGGGTTGCAGGAGGGAAGAGGAGCGATAAGGTGGAATGATGGATGTAAAGATAGATAGTAAGGGAAGAAAAAGTAAGCATATGAGAAGGTTTTTACAAAGTAGAAGTGATGCAAGGAGGGAAGAGATAGGGAGAAAAAGAGAGAAGTTAAGAGAGTGGTGAAGCAATTTAAAAAGATAGCAAATGAGAGAGTGGGAGAGATGTTATCAACAAATTTTGTTGAAAATAAAAAAAGTTTTGGAGTTGAGATAACAAGTTCAGAAATCCTAGAGCAACAAATGGATTTTCAGTTAAAAAAAGGAGATGAGAGTTATAAAATGGAAGTTAGAGGTATTGGGTAAAGATGGAAGAAATAATTTTGAGGAATTGTAAAATTGTTGATGATGATAGGAAGATCAAACTGTGATTTTCGTGTATAGGGCAAGGAGGAATAAATCATGAAGGAGTGAGAAGAGCCAGTTTGATGTGGGGAAGTTCGTGATGCATTAGGAAAAATGAAAGGTGTAAGGCAGCCGGATTGGATGGATAAAGATAGAAAAGTTAAAAGGCAGGAGGGGATAATAGGTTTTGGAGTGGTTGGTGCAATAATTTAATAATGTATGGAAAGAGGAGAAAGGTAGCCTCGGATTGGCAGAGAGCATGCATTAGTTTCCTTTGTATAAAGGCCAAGGGGAAACAAAGAGAGTGCAAAAATTAAAAGGGGGAATAAGTCTGTTGATTGTACCTGGTAAAAGTGTATGGTATAGTATAATTTGAAAAGAATTAAGTGTAAGAACGGAGATAGGAACGCAAGATGACAAGGAGCTTTAGGAAAGTCGGGGTGTGATGGACCATGTTTACAGTGAAACATATAAGTGAACAGTATTTAGATAAGGCAAACGAGGTCTTTGGGCATTTATGGATTGGAAAAGGCGTATGAAACAGGGTGGAAAGGGGGGCAAAGTGGCAGATGTTCAAGTGTAATGGAGTAGGAGGTAGGTTACTGAAAGCAGTGAAGAGTTTTTTACGAGGATAGTGAGGCCAAGCTTAGAGTATGTAGGAAAGAGGTAAATTTTTTTTCCCAGTAAAAGTAGGCCTTAGACAAGGATGTGTGATGTCACCGTGGTTGTTTCAAAAATTTTCTAGATGGGGTTGTAAGAGAAGAAAATGCGAGGATCTTGCAAGTAGGCGGTGGAGTTAAAAGATAAAGAATCACACACAAGTGGGGAGTTGTCACAGCTGCACTTTGCTGATGACACTGTGCCATGGGAGATACTGAAGATAAGTTGCAGAGAATAGGTGGATGAATTTGGTGTAGGATGAGGCAAAAGAAGAAAATAAAGTTGAATACAGCAAGAAGTAAGGTTATGAGGATAACAAAAAGATTAGGAGATGAAAGAATGAATATCCAGATTGGAGAAGGAGAGAGTATGGAGGAGGTGAACGTATTCCTGATATTTTTTGGGAGTGGACGTGCAGTCAGCGGATGGGTCCCTATGGAAAAGATGAGGTGAATCCATAGAATTGATGAGGGACAAAGAGTGAGTTGTGCACGTTAGGATCTGTGGAGACAAAGAACTTTGTCCTTGGAGGCAAAGAAGGGGAACTATGAGAGTATAGTTTTACCAACGCTCTTAAATGGTTTTGAAGCGTGGGAGAGAATGTTGCAGCAGGAGAAGGGCTGAGGCAGTGGAGATGACATGTCCTGAGGCAATGTGTGGTGTGAATATAAAGCAGAGAATCGTCGTTTGGAGTTAGGAGGGAGGTGCGGATTACCAAACTGTTGTCCCCAGAGGCTGAGGAGGTTGTTGAGGTGGTTCGACATGTAAGAGAATGGATCCGAACAGAATTTAGACCTTCAAAGAGTGTATCAGTCAGTAGTGGAAGGAAGGCGGGGTAAGGGGGTCGGGGCCTAGGAAGGATTGTAGGAGTGGTATAGGAGGATTTTGTGAGCGAGGGGCTTGGCCTTCCAGCAGGCATTCTAGCGTGTTTGATAGGAGTGCATGGAGACAAATGGTTTTTTTTAATACTTGACGTGCTGGGTTGGAGTGTGACAAAGTAAACATTTATGAATGGAATCAGGGAAACCGTCAGGCCGGACTTGAAGTTCACTGGAGATGGAAAGTACAGTGCCTGGCACTCTGAAGAGGGGTGTTAAGTTGCAGTTATAAAAACTGTAGTGTAAAGCACCCTTCAGGCAAACAGTGGAAGGAGTGGAATGATGGTGAAAGTTTTTTCTTTTCGGTGCCACCCTGCCTTGGTGGAATTCGGGCCGGTGTGATAATAACAAAAAAAAATCAAGACCATTACTCCGACCATTGCCCATCAGCCTATTCAAATCATCCTGGAGTGCTCTCTATGTCCTCATTAGAATGAAAGGACAGCCGAATTTTGTGTCATCAGCAAATTAGCTTATGTCGGCAATTGATTCCTCATCTATGTTGTTTATGTAAAATGTGAACAAACACTGGGCCCAAACCCACTGACCCCTGAGGAACACCGCTTGTGACGAAAGCCTTACTGAAGTCCATATACACAATATCATATTCATTACCATGATCTACCTCCTCAAACACCTTAATGAAAAAAGTTAGTAAATTCGTAAGACAGGAACGCCCCTTTGTAAAACCGTGTTGAGATTCATTAATCAATCTGTGCCTGTCAAGATGGCTACGAATTGCTTCGGCAATTATTGATTCCAAAAATTTTCCCACTATGGAGGTAAGGCTTATTGGTCTATAGTTCGAAGCCAAGGACCTGTTACCTGCCTTGTAAATAGGTATTACAATGAGGATGAAGCTAGTTACCAGAACTGATACAAAATATGATGAGATAGTATATGCCTATCTAGTAATAAATGAGAGTTGAAGGAAGAAAAGAGCAAGAACAAGGAGAGTTATTGGATGAAAGAGGGTTTCAGGATTTTTTTGGCGTAATAAATTGTTGTCAAGATCTTCAGGCAGTGATGACCACTCTACATTTTGTGCTTCCCTGTGAATGTAATTAAATTTTTATTTGAGTTTTGTGGATATCTTAATTTTTTTTGCAATTATATTGAGATCACACATTATAAGCATATCTTATCTATCTAACCTAGGATAACTGAATAAAGTCAAACAGTGGGACCTATTTCTAATGTGCATCAAATGTATTTTGTCAGAGATGATGTGAGCTATGAATATATTAGGTGGATTGAAGTAGCCCTCTAAATTATCACTTAAAATTATGACTGAAAATTTGAAATTTTTTAAGATAAGCAATAAGATAAGATTATGCTTAGATTTTTAACCCGGAGGATTAGCCACCCAGGATTACCTAAGAAAGTCAGTTCGTCATTGAGGACAGTCTGTCTTATTTCCATTGTGGTCCTTCAGTCTTTTCCCCCAGGATGTGACCCACACCAGTCAGTTTACTCCCTGGTACCTACTTACTGCTAGGTGAACATGGACAGCAGGTGTAAGGAAATGTGCCCAACATTTCCACCCTTGCCAGGAATTGTACCATGGGCAGTTAGTGTGAGAGGTGAGAGCATTGCTGACCAAGGCAGTGTATATAAATACATTGTAATTTCTTTATATGTTATTTTATTATTAAGATAATAACTAGTGAAATGTAAGCATTGCAAGTACAAACCTCCAAATATGCAGACTTGAGGGTAACTTAAAATATATTTTTAGGCACCACCATGTTGCTAAATGGGAAAGAACCCTTCAAGAGAGAGGTGCTTTGATGCTGTTGAAGGGCTCTTGATCAGGAAGTGATACTACCCTCCTTTTCCTTCCTCTGGCCAAATCTTTATGACCCCTACAGGTTGAGTGCTTCCTCATGAGTTTAATAAAAATAATAATAATAACAATAATAATAATAATATCCATATTGTATATTAATAATAATATGCTGACTTTGTTGAAGGGCTCTTGATCAGGAAGTGATACTACCCTCCTTTTCCTTCCTCTGGCCAAATCTTTATGACCCCTACAGGTTGAGTGCTTCCTCATGAGTTTAATAAAAATAATAATAATAACAATAATAATAATAATATCCATATTGTATATTAATAATAATATGCTGACTTTGTTTTATCTTTAGGGTTTAATCACTTGTACATTTTTATTAAATTTCCATCATTTTTTATATTAACTTAATTTATCCTCAGAATTGTAAATGCAAGCTATGGTCTCCTAAAGCAGTGGTCAATGAAAAATGTCCTCCCTAAAAATGTAACTTTCCAGCTTTTGAGGACCTATCATCCACCACCACCAGTATCATCTGAGCTTAAGGTATATTTACTAGATACGGTTAATGTAAAATTAAATTTTTATGCACATTTATTAGAAACTAAACAACGACAACATTATTACTTTTTATTGTTGATCTGAATTAAGAAGGTCTCCATCGGTCACTTCTGAGTGTGATTTGTAGAGTCCAGTTCATTGAAACCAAGCTGCCTGCCACTGTTTTGTTATTTCTTCAACAACAGCTTGCACTTGAGACTGAAAGCCCTCAAAATTATTTGTGCAATGAGGCAAAATGTGTTTCCACACTTCATGCATATTGCTTGCAGTTAATTCTTCCCCAAAAAGTTAACAACTTATCTTGTCTAGATTTAAATAGTCATTTTGTGTACATACTAAAATCCTCAGTATGATAGTGGCTTTCTTTGTACTTAGCAAACCAAAATTGTAATTACACATTGTAACCTTTACAAAGAAATAAAATCTTTATTGTCTAAGCAGGGGAAATATTTTCAAATTTGTGAGTCTGTATATCAACGATCTTCCACTATTTTCTTAAAAAAATTGGGATATTTAACAGTGGCTTCTTGATCTGCACTGGCAGATTAACCAGAAATTTTAACATTGTGCAACTGAATTTCATTTCTAAAATGGTCAAACCAGCCATTGCTTGTATTAAAAGTTTCTTCAGTTTTCACATGAACTGTTTTCTTTCATTGCTGTAAAGAGGCTCAAAGCTTTTTTTTTTGATAGATGCTCCATTTCTATCATTGTAATGCTTCTATTTCTAGTAGTTGTTCACAAACCACAAAAAGCTGATGCAGCTGTACCTTTTTCTTTCAGTTTATCTGCATGTTTTAAAATATTACGTATGGTAGATATTACGTACAGTAGATTAATGCATTGGCCTAACTTAGAATTGCTGCCATCATGTGCATGTCACTTTATTATGTAAATATTTTGTTCTAATGTAATTACAGGACTCCTCTTTTTTTTTCACTTTCATTATTTGCACTATAAATATTCTTCCATTTGTCCATATTTCTTAACCCGTAAATGGTCCAAACGTATATATACGTTTTTACTGCTAGTACCCCAAACCTATATACATGTATACGTTTTATGTGTCCTACATTTAGCATTGCCACGATAAGCCTGAGTCGCCTAGGCATGTGAGAATGGGTGTGAGCACTCACTGTGCACCATATTAAAATAATTGGGGATGCCTGGGTACCATATGCTCTTTTTTCCTATTAAAAACAACAACGTTTTTTTTCCTCAAAAAAAGTTGGGGCAGTACGGTAGTGAACGTATATATATGTTTGGACTGTTTACGAGTTAAGGGTAGTTTATTAAAATTTAAAATATATGTACCAAGGTAGTAGGTTGGTAGACAGCAACCCCCCCAGGGAGGTACTACCGTCCTGCCAAGTGAGTGTAAACCGGAAGCCTGTAATTGTTTTACATGATGGTAGGAATGCTGGTGTCAGGTATGTCTTGCTTACACTTAGGTCACACTACACATGCATGTATAAGTGTATATATACACACCCCTCTGGGTTTTCTTCTATTTTTTTTTACTAGTTCTTCAAATTCAAATTCAAATTCAAAGTTTATTCTCTATAAAGATTACAATGTTGATTTACGGGTTTTGGGTTGTTGGGGGTTTTAAACTGTATTAAATAATGATTCAGAGTTACCACTAAAAACGCCTAGCATGGCGGGATTTCAGGCAACTTATTTTTTTCTTTATTTTAAAATTTTTACAAATTATGAGGAAATTTGGGTATTATGGAAGTGACTAAATACAGTTTGTGAGTTTAGAAATTGAATGCTTTTTTTTTTTGGCAAGTACATAGTTTCATTTTGGAGTACAAAGGTTTCATTTTTAAAAGATTGAATTAATATTTCTGTTTATGGTAAAATGGGTATGGTGAAGTGGAACCACCAGTGGTATTCATGTAGTTAGTTAGGGGGTTTATCAGGGAGAATGACTAAATACTTTTTGGATTTTAGCAATGTAATGCTTTTGTTTTGGCACAGTACATATTTCAGTAGGGGGTATCATAGGTTTTATTATTTTAAATTAAATTTAATATTTCTGTTATGGTCAAAGGGGTGAGTAGTTAAGTGTGAACCCGGGGGTTTTCAGTGTTAGTTGTGGGGTTTTCGGGAAAAAGTTTTTCTAATGGTGTTTTGAAGATGATATTGTGTGCGTTCAGAGTTTCAGGTGGGTGTTCCAGATTTTAGGGCCTTTGACATCATTAAATTTTTTTGAAAAGGGTTTATGGGACAGGGGGAATGTTAGAGATGTTTGTTCGTGTTACCGTGGGTTCGTCACAACACAAGAAAGCATTTTGGGGGTAAAGGGTTGATTTTGGGATTTTAAAGGCCTGTAATGTAAGCACATAAAAATTTGGGGATGTCGAACTGGGAGTAAGTTTAGACTATGAAGAGTGGGGGGGGGTGTTGCCAGGGATGGGATTTAGTGATTATTCTTACTGCAGTTTTTGTTGGGTTATTATTGGGTTTAGGTGGTTTCTGCATTTTTTCCCCCCAAAACAAATCATGGTGAGGGATGGATAAATAAATGATGGATGTGGGAAGGGCATTTTGCGGCACTAGAACTATCTTGGAGAGGACCCAACTGTTTTGGATACTTTTTTTGGTTTTGTGTTGGATATGGGTGCTGAAATTCAGGTTGTTGTCAAGGGAAAGGGTTAGGGAATTTTTCCCTCATTTTTTCTGGGAATTAGAGTGTTGTCGATCTTAAGTTAAATTTTAAAATTTTTCCTGCTCTGCACCAAACAAAAATATAGGTTTTGTCAGTGTTAAACGAAGTTTATTGGCTGTCATCCAATCGATATTTTTTCAGCCCCGTTAACAATGGTGTTGAGGGTGGCAAGATTAGGGTGAGAGAGAATAAGTCGTGTCGTACAAAAAAAAATGGGTTTCAGGTGTTGGGAACGTTGGAAGATCATTGATGTAATGAGGAAAAGCAGGGGCCCAAAGGCCTTCCCTGCGAACCCCCAAAAAGTGGCCGTGTTGTTGAGCGTTTTTTTATGGTAACATACGTACCATTAGAAAAGGAAAGATTTAAAAATAAGCAAGCGCAGGCCTAAAAAACCCCAAATGGTAAAGTTGTGGAGTAGGATGTTGTGGTCTACTGTGTCAAAAGCTTTTCTTGGGTCAAAAAAAATTTCCTAGTGGAATTCCTTATTTCCCCAAGCTTTTAAAGCAGATCAGCATTTTTATGATGCATCATTAGTGCTTTTTTTTTTCCTAAATCCAAATTGGCAGGGGTTGAGTATTTTTTGGCTGTTAAAAATGAATAGTCTCCTGGCACGAGTTTTTCAAAGATTTTGGATACAAGGGTAAGTTGTTTTTTTGGGCCAAGTTTTTTTAGTCTGGGGGGTCCCCCCTTTTATGATTGGTGAAAACCCTTCATTTGATAGTTTGGGGAAAGGTGCTAGTTTCTATGACTTGTTAAAAAGTAATGAAATAGCATGCAAAGGAAAAGGGCCCCTGCTTGTACTAAAAGGTGGGACATTAGGACAAATTCCTGAGTTGTTTTTAAATACTTTATAATCTTGGTGACTTCCGAGCTCAGTTGGGGGCAAGATAAAGGAATTTGGGAAATTCCCTCAGGTAGTCCCCGCATGGGGATTAGTATTTGGGGTTTTATTGGCAATTAGATCCTATGGTTTAAAGAATGTTTATCTTGTTTGCTGTGTCAGTGGGATTTTAGTGGGTGTTTCATTAGGTTTAGTTAGGGCAAATTCTTGGTTTTTTTAGTTTGTGGGTCCCCAGAATCTGAGAGAGTGTTTTCCAGGCTTTTTTTATTCCTTATGTCTGTGAAACACTGGAATAAAATTGTTTGGGTTTCTTTATTACTTGGTGAGAACTGTGAAAAGTGTTTAAAAATATTTGTGTATTAAGCCCTGTCTATATTGCTTTTTTGGGGTTTCTTGTCAATGGGTTTCAGAATGGGCGGTTAGCCATGGGGAACCAAGCCTTTGTTTGTGATCTGTTTTTGTTTTTTATAGGGGCAATGTTTGTTGTATAGTCCCCAAATAAAATTTTTTAAGAAAAATGCTGTCCAGTCTCAATACCATTTGGGCCCTTGGAGAATTCTGTAGCCAGTCAAAAATCTCTAGGCGTTGTGAAACTTCCCTTTTTGAGGGTCGTCATGGGGTCTAAAAGAACTTTTTTGTATTCAGTGGTGGTTTTATTAGTGTTTGTCGGAGGAAGGTAGGGTAGGGGCGTAGTCTATCTTGATTATCCCTGATTTAAGGGGGGCTAGTTATTTTTCCAATGTGGTCATTAGGTTGCATTTTCTCAGTGAGCCGTTGTTGGTAGAGAAGTGGTTGTTATATTGTTTTATCCTTTTTTTTTTCCTCTTATCTCCATGGGGAATAAACAGAATTTTTCTCCATAAACCCTCGTGTCTAAGAGGGACAAAAAGCTGGGAGCAAAGGGCTAGTAATTTGTCCCTCTCCTGGTAATTACAAGTTAAAATGAAACTTTTTTTTTTTTTTTTTTTTTTTGGGCCCCC